TACACAGGTAAAAGGAATTATGGGCCTAGAACACTAAAGAAGAGTTTCATAGACCAAAGTCCCACTAAGATATTTCCATGCATTACTAACAAAGCCAGCGTGGCAAAGGCCCTCTGCCTGCCTGGGCAAGGTTTGCTACATCACCCACCCCAAAACAATACTCAGTGGTTTATCAAAATACTTTAATATTTTGGTACCAGGTAGCAAGCAGTCTAATCCAAGCCTGCCCTGCCACCTCCCCTCCCCCCACCCAACATGGCAATCTCCCTATAATCCAATGACAAAAGGATTGAAGTCTGCTTTGGCTAGGGGCCACCAGGATCTCTGTGGTGAGAGTCCCATTTTGACTGGCCAGTGCCACGCGATATGTCTTAAGTATTTCAAATATCACTACTCTGCTTATACCTCACCTGGACCATGATGTTATCACTGGATGCTGCTTCCTGGGCCTCATTCACCCAGCGCTTGACCACGTCAAAGCTGCACTTTAACAGGTGCTGTGAGCAACAGGGCATATTAAGTGGCAGGCAAGCAGGAGGAGGCTCTCTCATCACATATCCTGGACCTGGCTTACAGTTCAGCTAGCTCTAGTTCTTTCCTCAGACAAAGCTCAGGACCTCACCATTGTCCTGGTCTTCTGAGATGGCATACAAGCATAGGATGGTTCCCACCCTCCCTCTCCCAGGCCCAAACTCCAACAAGCTGTCACCCCCAAAGGATGGATCAAGGCCATTCAACTGCCCTTCCTCAACCAATCCACAATTACCCACCACTCTTCACTAAGAAGGTTAGAGGGACTCTCAAATCTGAGAATACAGAAACATTTTTTATTACCTACTGGAAAACAATTCTTATATTCTCTTCAGTTTCCTGATCCTACCCTCCCAACCCCTGGTCTTGCAGGGCCCCAGCTGCAGCTACACACCAGGGAAGACACCAGGGCAGAGCTAGAGACACTGGGCACTTTGTCCACAATAGCCTGTTTCATGTACCGCTCAATTGCCTGCAGCATGGTGCTCTGTGGGGACAAAGAGGGGCAAGAGAGGACCCAGTTAATTCTCAGCAAACTTCAGAAATGTAGGTAATGGGGTATGCAGCAGTGAGGTGAAGAGGAAGCAAATGTGTTTGCCTTTTCACCATATCCTTCATCACTTCCTTTGCCCAGGAGATGCAGAAAACCTAAAGCATGCAAAGGATGAGACTGAACCTTGATTGAAAAATAGGAAAAAGACAGATGGCTGGGTAGGGCAGCAGACTCACATCAGTGATCTGGCAGAGGGCTCGCACGGCTGGGCCTCGATAGTTGTCTTCTTTCCCAGTCATGTCCTTTGTCAGGCTACAGGGGGAGGAAGGCACTGTCAACATGCTGGAGCCTGGCCTGTTCTCCCCACACCAAAATCATCACCCACTCCTCTCAGCACCACACTTACCTAGATTACTATATGAGTCTCCTAACTAGTGTTCTGTATTTTTGTCCCATCTAAGCCACACTCCATGAAGCAGCAAGATGGAGTATTTTTTTAATAAAACTCAAAACTGACCAGGTCCCTTGCTTGCCTTCAATAAAACATTTCCAAGGCTTCCTACTACCATTACCATCAAGCACAAGCTCTTTAACAAAAAAATACCCAAATAAGCTGTGCGATCTCTCTACTTCAGTCATTTGTGTATGCTCTTTTCTTAGCCTGGAGAACTCCTCAGCCCCTCACCTCTACCTCTGTCCTGCTATTTCTCACTCCTCCTTCAGGATTCCATTCAGACAGGTCTTCTGATCCAAATTCAAATTGGGTGCCCTTCTGGTCTGTTCTCACAGCCTGTCTGGTTATTTCTCCGTGAATTCTGGGGCTGCAGAGACCGTGTTTATCTTATTTGCTGCTCTATTCCCAGAGCTAAACATAGGACTGATAGACAGTAAATAGACATTTTCTAAATGAACCTAAAAATGAATATATAACACCCCCATCTATAACTCCCCCCCAAAAACTGACAAGAAATAAAGAGAACTGAGCCCAAGTTCTTAAGAGCAGGGATTATACTTTAGTCACATCTTTCCCTTGAATCATGCAGCCTAATGTAGAAACCAATACTTAGTAAGGAAGCCTATTTGTATACCTCTTGCATTCTCTATGTCCATTTTTCCTATGTTTTCTCTTGGTGCTCACTAAAGGCTTTACGAGAGTTCCAGGCTGGCTCAGGTGACTAAGAGGAATCAAGGGAAGGAAGGGTTTGTGCCCAAGCTAAGGCCAGAGAATTAACAGGGAAACAGCACACTCTGGAGGTTGCCATGGGGTGGGCAGTGGTAAATGAAAGATGAGGGAGTCAATCAAAAGTCTCATTCTCTAGTACACAGGAGAAAAAATGGTCTCTGTATCAATAGAACCCATCAAAGGAACCATCCACAGACCCAGGACTTGCCTACTAGTGACAATGATGACATCCTCTGCAATGCAAGACATCTCCTTGATGGTCAAGTAGCACATCCGACGGAGGGTGGGCTAGGAAAGAGATGGAAAAAGCCCTGACCCCTAGCTCAGCATGATGGCCAGGGTTAGAAAAAGAAAACTCCAGACTATACAAAGGCAGTCCATACTGACTGACGGAGTCCCTTTCCCTTGACCCTCCAACCACCCTGTCACAGCTGTCTTCTCTCAAGGAAAGTGGGGTTGGGGCACTTACATCATTAGACTGAAAGAGCTTGGTCATGGCAAAAAAGGCCTCAGTTGCTTCAGTGGTCCCCAGGTGCTCTCCCTATTTTAATCAAGAAAAGAGTCTCAGCTTAGGATAGAGAAGCCGTAAGGCTCTTTTTGCTCAATCAGTCCAGGCCAGATCCTCAGCCCCTGCAGAGGTTCTATCAAAGGCAACACATCAGAGTTGAATGCTGAGGGGACTCAGAGCTGGGCTCTTGGCTACGACCACACAAAGGCTGTTGAATAGCCAAAGGGCTATTTCACTCATGTATTCCAAGATCTCCCAACACTGTTTCCTCCACCCCTAAGCTTCACCCTGTTACCTGGTTTATGAGGTAAAGGATCTTGGTGAGAATGTGAGCACATTTCCGAGGGTTGATGGGAGTTTCGTTAAATACACGGGCCTAAGAAGAAGTAACCAAGGATAATTTACTTTGTAGCCCAGTTTATTTCCCTTCCATTGACTATACTCAAGAACATTCAAGGGCTGAGAGGTCCCAGAATAAATAAATACACTTCCTTGGATAAGCTTATTTTCATAGGAAAAATTTTTTTTCTTTAATTCATCTATTAACACCTTCTGAAATCTTCAATTTAAGTATTAGTTAGGAATGTACTGATTTATTAACTAACATATACTTAGTAAACACTTAACTAGAAAGAGAAATGAAGAATAACAAAAATGTAAACATAATAAACTCTCTCTAGGAACAAAGTTTTCCTGCCTTTCAAGGAATGGGTTTTCTCCCCATTATTCTTTATCTATTTTTAATTTTTTTAAACGATTATATTTATTTATTTTTAGAGAGGGGAGTGGAGGGAGATAGGGAGGGAGAGAAACATTAATGTGTGGTTGTCTGTGGAGCACCCCCTGCTAGGGACCTTGCTTGCAACCCAGACATATGCCCTGACTGGGAATCAAACCAGCAACTCTTTGCTTCAAGGCCAGCACTCAATCTACTGAGCCACACCAGCCAGGCCTCCCCTACTGTTGTTAAAATAAGAACTTTGAGTGTGTTAGCATCTCAATCACATTCATCATGGACATGATGAAATATAGAGGGGAGCAAATGACACTTGCCTCCTGGAGTACTGCACTCTTCTCAAGGTGCTGGAATGGGTTGGAGCCTCCACCTACAATCAGAGAACAAAGAAAACTGAGTACAGGTTGTGACCCTAAATTTCAAAATTCTCCCATAGATAAGGGACAGATGTCCCTACTGTCTGCCTAGTCAATAGTCAAGTTCAAGCTCCTCTGAATTGCAATCAAAGCTCTATAAGCTTCATATAAATCATACCACTCTCCTGCAAGGGTCTCTCTCAACCCCAAACCACTTACAATCACCCAGCATCCATGGTACAGTCCTTCTGTGCATCTTACAGTGTATTCTTTGCCCTACATCGATTTACGCAAATGATACTTAACTGAATTCCTATTACATGTGGGGACCACCATCTCCTACTGACTAGGATTTCTTCATAGCAGATATCACATTTGTGGTTAATTACAAGCTTTATTATTATCATTTTGTTTATGTCTCTCTCCCCCACTATGCCTGTGACTATTCTAATATTCCTAGCTTAGGCAGTGAGTGTTTCACTTGTTCTACCGCACTATCAGAACACAGTAAGTGTTCAACGTTTGCTGAAAAAAATAAATGAAAGGGTTCAGGTTCTCAGCCGCAGGACACTAGCTCCTCAGATAACGTCCCAGTTTGGCTAGCACCAACGCAGCCCCGGCGAATCCGAAGGGATTCAATGGAGAAAGGAACAAAGGTGCATCTGCTACTTCCCCGACAGATGTGGAAACTGAGGCCCAGAGAGGCGTGGGATTCACTGGGTGCCGCCCAAGGTCACCCAGTGAATCGTGCGTGGGCCGAGCTACAGATTGGGGAAGTAGAGCATGCTGGGGCTCTCCGAGGCTTGCTACTGACTAGCTGTGGACCTTCGCACAAGCCTCTGTCTTTCACTGGGCCTCCGCCTCGGGTCAAGACACAAGTCCTGAAGGAGGGCTCCCAGGAAAGATGTTGAGATCCTGAGCGATGGCCCAGCCTACGCCAGGCCTAGCTACAGGCCTGAGCTCCTCACCCGATTCCTCGTCTTTCTTGTCCAATTTCTTCAGCATCGTGGTGCCAACAAGGGAGTAAAGTAGCAGCCGTTCACAGAGCAGCTGCGACTGCTAGAGATGGTATGATGGCGGTTCTGCACAAGCCACTTCCGGCCGGCCACGTAACCCAGCACTCTGCGCCAGCGCGCTCAGCGCATGCGCATATTACAGCCTTGTGGCGCGGTCCGCCTTTAACTCTATCCCAGCCGAGAATACCCTACGCCCACCTTATCTGTACAATAGGAGTGGCTTTGCGTTGTGGCGTAAGTTTAAACAGGCTTTTGGAAGTGAGGTCCCTAGCACACTGGCTAGCAGTAGACCCCCCAATTAATGTTATCTGTTATTATTATTATCGCCTTTTAAGGGATGCCTCTCTAGCCACTCCTCACTTTCAGTCCTCATCCTCCTCATCCTTGGCCTGAATTTTCTCTCTAGCTCAAGTCACCATCTAACAGACTGTTTTTACTTTATTGCTTTTATTGCCTTTAATTCATTGCTGTAGCATATAGTACGTGCTCGGTAAACTCTTGTTGAATAAATCAATGCTTGAACTTGCTCTTAAAATTTATTGAATACATCTGCCCATCTCCTATCACGTCTGCCTTTGGTGTAAATTGTTTTGTATTTTAGGGATCTAACCAAAGTAAAAGATGAGCATAGAAACTTTAATGCGCTTTTTAAATGCTTTGGGTATTTATCAAAATGCGCCGCCTAGCGCTGGGGGCGGGAGAGATGGGAAAAGAGGAAAAAGAAACAGCGCTCAGGGTTTCTCTTCCTGGCCAGTTTGGCGGAACACCTTGAGGCCAGGGTAAGGGCGGTGCGTGCCAACGTGCCAAATTGCACCGGCTACCGCAAAGCCGAGTCTGGATGACTTAGCACCTTGACGCGTGGCACCAGTCTGCCTCGGGAGGGAGCAGGTCGCGGAGAGGGAGGAGGCCTGCAGTACGGAGAGGAGCCCAAGGCGCTGGGACAGAGACCTGCGGGAGAAGGTGAGTAAAACAGAAGAGGGGGTGGGGGAGGGGCCAGCCTTCCTGCTTTGTGGAGTACCTCTCGTTCTGGGACTGGCGGGAAGCTGGGGATGGGAAGAACGGTCTTGTGCCAAGGAGCAATTGTCAGAAGCCAGAAAGATGTTCAAAAATCTTTAACCAATGGACCTGGGCGGGTAGTTCAGTTGGTTAGAATGTCGTTCTAACCTGCCAAGGCTGGGGATTCAATCTCTGATGAGGACACCTACAAAAAGCAACCAAGGAATTAATAAACAAGTGGAACAACAAATCGATGTTTCTCTCAATATCTCTCTATCTCCCTCCCTCCCCTTCTTCTCCTTATCTATCTCGGATAAATAAATTTTAAAAATCTTTAACTAGTATCCCCACTCCTTATCCAGAGGCAATCATCCAGAAGAAGAAAATAAAATTGTGCACTCTAGGAGTTTGCAGCAAGAAAATTGGAAACACCCTAAATGTTCAGCAATAAGGGGATCATTATGGGAATTATGTTACAGCCATGGGATGAAATAGTCTGCACTCTTTATAAAGGAATATTTCTTTTCTGTTTGGTTATTGTCTTTAACTTATTTTTTAAATTATTGTTGGCATATGATATATTAATTTTAGGTGTACAACATAGTAATTAGACAAAGGGATATTTCTGCTGACTCGGGAGGCAATGTGCAAACTTCTAATAATAAATGACACATTAAAAAAGAAAAGCAGGGTGTAAATGTGTTCATAATTAAAGTGAAAAAAATTTGCCTCATGTTTAAAAACCAGAAAAGAACTCCAGAGATTGGGATTGTTGTGTTAAGATGGTGAAATACTGATAAATTGTGTTGAGTTAAAATAGCCTTTTATGTATCAAGGGCAATTTTTATAAACCTCATCTCTACAGTGAGAATTGTGGGTATGGCTCCAGCTTTAAGAATTGGCTTCTAAATAACTGTAAGGTTTTTATTATTTTAAAAATATAGTATACATTTTCCATGATAATTTCTAAGTCTTTTGTAGCAACACAGGATACTGGAAGTACCAGGGAAACTGGGGAAATCTGGGTAATGTTGGTAGATTGTACCAATAGCAATATCCTAGCTGTGATTTTATTTTTATTAATTTTACTAGTGTTGAAAAATTGAGACAAACTCTACATACCTTAAAATTTACCCTTTAAAAATGTTTTTATTTATTGATTTCAGAGAGAGAAGGGGGAAGGGGAGAGAGAGATAAGTTTGTTCCACTTATTTATGCATTCATTGGTTGTTTCTTTTTTATATTTATATTTTATTGATTATGCTACTACAGTTTTCTCATTTTTTCCCATTCTGTCCCCCCTCTGTTTTGTCCCCCCAACCCTCCAGCATTACTCACCTGCCTTAGTTCATATCCATGGGTTGTACATATAAGTTCTTTGAGTCCTATGTTTCCCATACCATTTTATTTTTATTTTTTATTTTTTAATATATTTTATTGATTATGCTATTACAGTTGTCCCATTTCCCCCCTTCATTCCCCTCCATCCTGCACACCCCTCCTACCCACATTCCCCCCCTTTAGTTCATGTCTATGGGTTGTACATAATAAGATTTTTGACTTCTATATTTCCCATACTATTCTTATCCTCCCCCTGTCTGTTTTCTGCCTACCATCTATGCTACTTATTCTCTGTACCTTTTCCCTCTTTCTCCCCTTCCTACTCCCCTGTTGATAAACCTCTGTGTGATCTTCATTTCTGTAGTTCTGTTCCTGCTCTAGTTGTTTGCTTAGTTTGCTTTTGTTTTTTAGTGTGGTTGTTAACAATTGTGAGTTTGCTGTCAGTATACCGTTCATTTTTTTGTCTTTTTCTCAGATAAATCCTTTTAACATTTCACATAATAAGGGCTTGGTGATGATGAAGTCCTTTAACTTGCCCTTATCTGAGAAGCACTTGATCTGCCCTTCCATTCAAGGTGAAAGCTTTGCTGGATAGAGCAACCTGGACGTAGTTCCTTGCCTTTCATGACTTGGAATACTTCTTTCCAGCCCCTGCTTACCTGTAAGGTCTCTTTTGAGAAATCAACTGACAGTCTGATGGTAACTCCTTTGTAAGTAACCGTCTCCTTTTCTCTTACTACTTCTAGGATTCTCTCCTTCATTTTAATCTTGGCTAATGTAATTATGATGTGCCTTAGTATGTTCCTCCTTGGATCCAACTTCTTTGGGACTCTCTGAGCTTCCTAGACTTCCTGGAAGTCTATTTCCTTTGCCAGATTAGGGAAGTTTTCCTTTATTATTTGTTCAAATAACTTTTCCACTTGTTGTTTTTCCTCTTCCCCTTCTGGTACCCCTATGATTCGGATGTTGGAATGTTTAAAGACGTCTTGGAGGTTCCGAAGCCTCTCCTCATTTTTTTGAATTCTTGTTTCTTCATTCTTTTCTGGTTGGATGTTTCTTTCTTCCTTCTTGTCCATACTGTTGATTTGAGTCTCAGTTTCCTTCCCATCACTGTTGGTTCTCTGTACATATTCTTTTATTTCACTTAGCATAACCTTCATTTTTCCATCTAATTTGCAACCAAATTCAACCAATTCGGTGAGCATCTCGATTACCAGTATTTTGAACTGTGCACCTGATAGGTTGGCTATCTCTTCGTCGCTTAGTTGTATTTTATCTGGAACTTTAATCTGTTCTTCTGTTTGGGCCATTTTTTTTGTCTTGACATACCTATTAGGTATGAGGGGCAGAGCCTTAGGTGTTCACCACGGCTGGGCAACCCACATTGCTGGGTTGTGATGCTATATGTGGGGAAGGGGCCTGAGAGGGAATAGTGGTGCTTACTCTACTCTCTGCCGGATTTCAGTCACTTCCCCTGCTTCCTACCAGCAAATTGGGCCTTTCTGGTGCTGATTCCCATGTGGGTGGGTTTGTGTATATTTTAGGAGCCTGTGGGTCTCTCCAACGAACTTTCCTGTGAGGCTGGGAGTTTCTCTTGCTGCCTCCTCAACCCCCACAGGTGTTTTTTTTTTTAAAGACAGATATGTATTTATTCTTGACATTATCTTTTATTTATTTTTTAAAATATTCTGTTTATTTATTTTTAGAGAAAGGGGAAGGGAGGGAGAAACAGAGAGAGAGAAACATCAATGTGTGATTGCCTCTCACTCGGCCCTTAGTGGATATGTGGCCTGCAGTCCAGGTATGTGCCCTGACTGGGAAATGAACCTGTGACCTTTTGGTTTACAGGTGGGTGCTCAGTCCACTGAGCCACACCAGCCAGGGCCTCACAGGTGTTTTCAGTCAGTGGTTCAAGGCTTTATTTCTCCGCTCTAGGTTGTGCGGTCTGTTTTGCTTCCCCTTTGTTTTGCCTGGTTTATCTGCATGGGCGAATGTGGGACTGTGGGCTCCACCAATGCTGTTCTAAGTCTTGCTGGCCAGCTGCAGCCTTTGCACCCTTCCACAATCCGCCATCTCACCTGTCAGTCAGCCACCACCTTGCCACAAGTCCTCTCCACCTGGCTGCCAGACTCAGCCCCTCCTACCGGTCTCTGGATGAATGTATCATTTTTAACTCCTTGGTGGTCCAACTTCCATATAGTTCGATATTCTGTCGGTTCTGGTTGTTTTTTGTTTTTAAATTGTTGTCCTTCTTTTGGTTGTGCAAGGAGGCACAGTGTGTCTGTCTATGCCTCCATCTTGGCCAGCAGTCCTCCGCAGTTCCATTTTTTTCCTGAGGAAATTCCATACTGTTTTCCACAATGGCTGCACCAGTCTGCGTTCCCTACAATAATGTACTAGTGTTCCCTTTTCGCCACACCTCTCCAACACTTGTTTGTTGATTTGTGTATGATGGTCATTCTGACTGGTGTGAAGGGGAACCTCGCTGTGGTTTTAATTTTCATCTCTCTGATGGATAGTGATACTAAGTATCCTTTTGTATGTGTCTCGGCTCCTCTGTGTGTCCTTCTTGGAGAAGTGTCTGTCCAGGTGCCTAGTTTTTAATAGGATTGTTTGTCTTCCTGATGTGGAGTCGTGTGAGTTCTTTGCATATTGACAAGATCAAACCCTTGTCAGAGGTGTCATTGGCAAATATATTTTGCCACACGGCTGGTTCCCTATTCATTTTGCTGATATTTTCTTTAACCATGCAGAAGCTTTTTATTTTGATGAGATTCCATTTGTTTATTCTTTCCTTTTTTGTCCCTTACTCTAGGGGACATGTCAGTGACAATATTGCTGCATGGAATATCAGATATTTTCCTGTCTATGTTCTCCTCTAGGTATTTTATGGTGTTGTGACTTATATTTAAGTCTTTTATTCATCTTGAGTTTATTTTTGTGTATGGTGTAAGTTGGTCATTGAGTTTCATTTTTTTTGCATGTAGCTGTCCAGATCTCCCAACACCGTTTGTTGAAGGGGCTATTTTTACTCCATTTTATGCTCCTTCCCCCTTTGTCGAATATTATTTGACAATAGAGACATAGGTTTGTTTCTGGGGTCTCTATTCTGTTTCTTTGATCTATGTGTCTGTTCTTATGCCAGTATCAGGCTTTTTTTATTAAAGTGGCCTTATAATACATTTGGATATCAGGTATTGTGATCCCTCCTACTTTGTTCTCCTTTCTCAAAACTGCTGCGACTATTTGGGGTCATTTATGGTTCCATATAAATTTCTGAAATGTTTATTCTATATTTGAGAAATATGTCATTGGTACTTTAATAGGGATTGTATTGAATCTATAAATTCCTTTGGGTAATATGGACATTTTGATAATGGTAATTTTTCCAATCCATGAGCATAGTGCATGCTTCCATTTGTTTGTGTTTTCTTTAATTTCTTTCTTCAATATTATGTAGTTTTTTGAGTATAGGTTTTTTACCTCCTTGGTTAGGTTTATTCCTAGGTACTTATTTTTCTTGTTGCTATAGTAAATGAGATTTTTTTCCTGACTTCTGTTTCTGATATTTCATTATTAGTATACAAAAATGCCTTCAATTTCTGAATATTGACTTTGTATTC